TACCTGACCGTCCACAACATCAACGTTTCTAATCCTCATGTTACCAACATGGTCCATAACCTGACTGTCCACAACATCAACGTTTCTAATCCTCATGTTACCAACATGGTCCATAACCTGACCGTCCATAACATCAACGTTTCTAATCCTCATATTACCAACATGGTCTTATACCTGACCGTCCACAACATCAACGTTTCTAATCCTCATGTTACCAACATGGTCCATAACCTGACCGTCCATAACATCAACGTTTCTAATCCTCATGTTACCAACATGGTCCATAAAACGTTGATGTTGTGGACGGTCAGGTTTGGTAACATGAGGATTAGATGGTCAATCTTATAACCAAGCTGGCAAACTTCACTTTTTTATAATACCATATAAATGCAAAAATGACCAAAACAAGTTAAATGTCTTCGTACCTACATGTCTGACTTCAGTCACCTGGTGGGTGAGCGGTAATTTTACGGATTTATAATGCTTAAATCCGGGGCTCGATTCCTCGTGGTGTAGAGAGCACAGATAGCCCATTGTGTAGCTCTGCGCTAAAAAAAAAACAAAAACAACCACGAACAGCAGCTTTAACCTCAGCAAAACCTGTATTTTTAATACATGCCCAAAGTTACAAATTAAATTTATAACTCCTTTTCCCCAGAACTTTCTATTACTGGGAATACAAAACGAAATTGTGTTCGATATTTAGGTTTAATAATTTTTTATCATAGATTTTTAAAATAGATTTGTAACAAACCTATAAAACAGTTCCCCGGTGGAACTGCGGTAAGTTTACGAACGCTAAAGTCCGTGGTTCGATTCCCCGCGGTGGACACAGCACGTAGGTTAATGTAGCTTTGCTCTAAACATAAATAAACATATAAAATGTTTGTAATGTATGATCCATCCAGCTGTTTTCAGAATATGATGGCGTGATTTTATCTTGGGACGACGCTACCACCCTTCTTCTGTCTGTGAGAGCCTTTCCATCTGCGATTTAATACTTATCAAACCATTCTTTCTTACGCGGTTTTTGTGTCATCGTCCTTGACTTCTTTGACGCCAATTTAATGTACGTTTCCATGGCTTTGAAATGTTTACGTTCCAGTTATGACATAAACTATCAACGAAGTTTCAAAACTATAGTAACTAGGATAAAAATTACTTCTTCATGATATAATTAAAAGTCGGTTTTTGTATTGTTCATTGAAATTATAATGAAAACAAAGTAGAATATGTTATAATATGTCAATCACACTATACCTGCCATTTGAATGCCGACGAGGCCTTTCATACGATACCCAGGGCTCATCAGGTCGGCTGCGATACTACAGACACAATAGTGAGCTGTATAGGCACTAAACATATCTCTATCTGTCATTAACAACGACTGTTATAGTGTCAACTAGACTGAACAAGTCAATTGTAACTGTCATCAATTTTACTTGAGTCTTTATGCCCCCCCTCCACCTCCAGGTGGCTCAGCGGTAAGCTTGAGGTCTTTTATGCTAAAAATTAGAGTTCGCTTCCTATAGTAGGCACTGCATAGCTAGCCCATTATAGTTTTTAAAAATTACATGAATAACAACAAAGAAATAAACGTTTTTTACTGTTTTAACGCATTTCAAGCTAGAACTTAATCATAACATTACCGATGGAGTTCCATATTGACCTCACTGGCTTATTAAAAACACTCGTTCGAAACTTTATGTATCACATTGCTTGAGAGCCTATGTCTTTATTTGTTACAGTGTCCCTAATAATATACGAGTCAACTAAAATCCGGAGTTCGATTCCCCGCGGTGGACACAACAGATAGCCCGATTTGGCTTTGGTGAAAGCAGATACATAAGTTAATGTAAACAAAAATTATCTGTACCTCTGGTGTTTTATCAGGCTAAAAGTCGGGTTTCGATACCCGCGAAAAGGAAAGCATTAATAGCCCAGTATGTAGCTTTGGGATTAACGACAAACAAACAAATATATGTCATCCCGTGCATTTTACAAAGAAGGATAATGAGTGATTTCGTACAATATTTCTCTTTACTTACAGAGAAACCAACATAAAAAAAATGCTTTAGAAACGAAATAAACACCGAGTTCAAAAGGCAACAA